TATATATATATATATATATATTGATCTGGTGTAATAATAAAAACTTCACAATATTAGTGGTTATAGTTCGATAGGTGTCCCTTCACTTTGTTCTTCATTTGACGTGTCATTAGATATTACAGTTGGAAGTAATTTTCCATTGGCCTACCATTCCAATTCATTCTATTCAATCTTCCTTTACTATGGCTAAACATTTCATTGAATCAGCCGGCGTTACTTGATAAATGATAATACCAGCCGGCGACGCTACACTGCGAGGAAACACATTTTGTCAAACTCAAACGGGAATATTAACTCAAATAATCATAGTCTTTCATCCTTTTTGACAATACTTATTTTCGCGAAATACACGCACAACTGACCATTCGCAAAATGTTGTTTTTTGTCCACTGAAAAGTCCGGATCGAGTATATACACAGCCACACGATTGTACACTTGTAGGTAGACACACCCACTTCGGCATATTGAGCAAGAAATTCAGTTTAAGGTACAGTCTGTTTCGTTTGAACGATAATATACATCACGTTTCTTTACCCAGCTACCTCATCCAGCTATCTCACTCAGCTATCTCACTCAGCTACCTCATCCAGCTATCTCACTGGGTGAGATAGCTGGGTGAGGTAGCTGGGTGAGATAGCTGGGTGAGATAGCTGGGTGAGATAGCTGGGTATTGATTTCACATTTCACATTTCACATTTCATCTTTTTTTTAACCCAATGTTGGACATCTGGGTGAGATAGCTGGGTGAGGTAGCTGGGTGAGATAGCTGGGTGAGATAGCTGGGTGAGATAGCTGGGTGAGATAGCTGAGTGAGGTAGCTGGGTGAGATAGCTGAGTGAGATAGCTGAGTGAGGTAGCTGGGTGAGATAGCTGAGTGAGATAGCTGAGTGAGGTAGCTGGGTGAGATAGCTGGGTGAGATAGCTGTCTTAATTGCTTTTCAGAGCTTAATTGCTTAATTGCTTTTCAGAGCTTAATTGCTTTTCAGAGGGTTAAACTCTCTGAATGTCTCCATGCGTAACGTGCGCAAACTCTTGGACTTGCCCAGTAACGAGCGCGAGGCTGCAGCGTAGACACCTAAGATCTCAGCACTGTGACCTTACAGGTTTCAGTGATGCTTACATGGGATGCGCATGCCAGCTCTCGTGGACAAATCAAGCGACAGCAGCCGCCGCACGCTTAGCTGGCGTAATGCGCAGCGCCGCGAAACGAAATCGTTTTCTGTGGGTCGTCAGAGCGAAGCCCGGAGACGCCATGTTAATCCTCCTTCCGTACAACTTATTGCGATATCTGTCTCGTGTGATTGGTCTTTGTATCGGCCCAGATAAGCTGGCAAATTAATTTCCGTTCGTGGCTGCGCGTACGGACACTCGACCGGCATCTTATCCTTCTTACACACACTCTCTCTCTATCTCTCTTTCTCTATCTACGTCTTTTTCTCCTCATCACCGCATTTCTTCTCGATCATTCCCTTATCTATTACCGCGATATCTCTGCCCGTCTCTATCGGTTTCGCAATTTCTATCGGAGACATTCTTATTCATTATGTGAGCACGCTCTTATCGCTGTGTTTTTCTCTCTACCTCCGTCCCTTTACTCTCGCCTTCTTTCGATCAACGGACAAATTGTATACCTGTTGGTGGCGACGCCGTATGGGCGTTTGTGTAAAGGTTTCACAGCAATAAAACTACTTACACGTTTTCTACAACGATGCAGGTCGGTTCACATATGTAAGTGTATTTAGTCTGATGTTATTCTTTAATTAAACGCGTTGGTTGTATGACCGATGCATAAAGTAATCCATCTTCGTTGGGATTGATCTATCCGTCTTCATCGTTCGCACCACACACCACGCGGCGATTCAGCCGAATTCACAGTACAGCAATCGTATCATAGACCGGTGATAACGGCCGGAGGGATTATTGCGACATTACACAAGGGGGATCACGCAAGGGAAATATTATAAAAAAGGGAAATGATAAAGTAAGAAATAAAATAAAAAGGAGAAACGGTACACTAAGTAACGCCTACATTACGCTGACGTTAGCTTGACGTGACATTCGATGAGCCTTAGAAATAAGTCAATTAATCAGATGCCCGTATATGCTGCTTGTGTATTTATAGCAATTTATAATCGCAGTTTCTCCGAAAACAATTAGGAGAGCATACATGTAATATAGAAAGCAAAGAATGCCGTAAGAAAGAGGCAATTAGGCAATTAAAACAACGGGTTTAATTCACAAGTTTATGCATGAAATGGCACATCCACGACGGGTCACCTACTATAATATGACCGCGACATGTGTAATACGGCAGCGATTCTAAAGAATTTCTCCTAACGAGCGAATCTGCGGCCTGTATATATATGCGCCTGCAGATCAGTTCATCAGCAATCGGCGCGCTCGGGCCTCAAGTCGATACGAACCGTATATAGCAGACACTTGAGTGCGACTCTCTCTCCGCAGCTAATTGCTCGTCCTTCCCCCTTACAGTTACTGCAGCTCCCCGCTTAAAGCCAGCGATGCCGTCGGTCGCTGATGATGATGATGATGATGATGAGGATGAAGATGATGATGATGATGATGTGAAATACAGGTGCTGTACACAGCGTGATGGCAGACGCCATAGGATAGTTTCCTCCCGATATTAGACAAGCATGTATATAGTCCTCTAATATAGATTTACCGCGCTATATATATATATATATATATATATATATATATATATATA